AAATTCTGGAGAGAAACCTAACAAAATTCTATTTCTAAGGACAAATTTGCTGTAACAAATTTGTTGGTGATTCCCTCCATTTACAGCACATAGCAGCTGTAAATGGTTCCTCCATTTACAGCACATAACAGTTGTAAATAACCATTTTTAATCCTAATTTATTTTTCTAATTATTATATTTTCTACAGTATTGATAAAGGAGTTGGTGTCAGGGCCTTCATTATTGCTTATGACCAGCCTTCTTTTGTATTGCGGGACTCCATTGGATAGGTGAAATAGTGGCTTACTTTGTGGGGATATTATGAGCTCTGTGAGTGGTTCTTGAATAAAAGAGTAGCCAGAGTAGCTTTTGGACACCTCACAGATCCAAGCAGGGGTACTAGCAGAGATTGTGTAGAGAATCTATGTTGAGGAATCCTCATGTTCTTCTAGATAAGGCATGCATGACTGTGTTGGCGTATCATTGTTTATATTAGATAATGTAATTCAATCCCAACATTTCCTTATGCCTTTCTGTTGAGCCATAGAAGACACTTTTTGATCCAACATATATTTGAGACTACACTCATGTGACCAAATGACGAATGAGACTCCTTCCAAATAGTGGCACCATTGAGAAACAGCATATAATACAACCGTGATTTTTTTTTTTAATTTCTGGCCTCAAAAGCCTTGCTTATAAAACCTATTGGTTGACCTTCTTGCATCATGACTGCTCCGATTCCCTCGTCACTACGGTTTGTTTCTAGAGTGAATGGATCCCCCAAATTTTTAAAGGTTCAATATGGGGCTAGACGTCATTACCTTTTTTAAATGTTGGAAACTTTGTTCGGCCACGAGGTTCATTGAAATGTTCCTTTCTCTAATAGGTCTATGAGAGGTTTAGCAACGAACCGGTGTTGTCTTATAAATTTGCTACAATAGCCTATTAAGCTTAGAAATCCCCTAAGAGTTTTGACAGTTTATGGCGGTGGCCAATTGACCATGATCTCAATTTTCTTGGAGTCCATTTGTACCATTTGCTGAGAAATGACATGCCTCAATTCAACTTCATTTTGCAGGAACCAGCATTTGGATCTTTTTTGCATATAGTTTGTTTACCTGCAATAA